GTAGAGTGTGGTGTGGTATTGTGTAAATAGGTCAATTTCATTTGTGTTTGTGGTGTAATATGTGTGGCTAGGGGCTGTAGAGAGTGTGTGTATAGGGGGCATAGTGTTATAGGGGATGTAGCGAGTGTGTGCATACGGGCTGTAGTGTGTGTGTATAGGTGACGTAGTGTGTGTAGGGGTTGTAGAGAGGGTGTGTTTAGAGAATGTTGTATGTGTTTGCTGACAAGGAATGTAGTGTGTGTGTAGGAGATCTAGTGTGTAAAGGACCCAGAGTGTGTATAGGAGATTGTGTGTGTGTGTGTGTGTATAGAGGATTAAGAGTGCATATAAGGTAAGGGATCTAGCGTGTATCTGGAGTGTAATGTATGTAGTGCTGTAGTGTGTGTGTGTGTATATATATATATACATACATATATATATTTGGACGTATTGTATGTGTGAGGGGCGCAGTGTGTGTGTATGTAAGAGGGGTGCTGTGTGTGAGGGTGTTTTTATCTGCCGTCACATTCTAATTTTCTTTGTCTGTTAACTTACTGAGGGTTATTTTATATATTATATATATATATCTGTAAATATATATATATATATACATACATATATATATATATATGTGTGTGTGTGAGCGAGGGTGCTGTCTGTCTGAGGGTGCTGTGTGTGAGTGAGGGTGCTGTGTGTGTCTGGGTGCGCTGTGTGTGTCTGGGGGTGCTGTGTGTGCTGTGTGTTTCTGGGGGTGCTGTGTGTGTCTGGGTGCTGTGTGTCTGGGGGTGCTGTGTGTGTCTGGGGATGCTGTGTGTGTCTGGGGGTGCTGTGTGTGTCTGGGGGTGCTGTGTGTGTCTGTGCTGGGGGTGTGTATGTGTGTGTCTGGGGTGCTGTGTGTGCTGTGTGTTTCTGGGGGTGCTGTGTGTGTCTGGGTGCTGTGTGTCTGGGGGTGCTGTGTGTGTCTGGGTGCTGTGTGTCTGGGGGTGCTGTGTGTGTCTGGGGTGCTGTGTGTGTCTGGGGATGCTGTGTGTCTGGGGGTGCTGTGTGTGTCTGGGGGTGCTGTGTGTGTCTGGGGGTGCTGTGTGTCTGGGGGTGCTGTGTGTGTCTGGGGGTGCTGTGTGTCTGGGGGTGATGTGTGTGTGTGTGTGTGTGTGTGAGTGTGATTTTTTTAATTTAAATTTTTATTTTTTTAATTAATAATAATAATTTTAAAAAAAAGTTATATCCCCCCCTCCCTTCTTACCTTTAGCCTGGGAGGGGGGGAACCGTTTTGCCTGTGACGGGGGGAGCCGTTCTGCCGTGGGAGAGCCATGCTGCCTGATCCCTGGTGGTCCTAGTGGTGAGCGTGAACTCTAGCCTGTAGGCTAGAGTTCACTCTCGCGAGATCTGAGCGTTGCCGCGGTAACCGCGGCAACGCTCAGAATCCCGCGAGAGGACCCGGCGGAGCTGCTGGATAGAGCTCCGCCGGTCCTCTCCTCCCTCCCTCACACCCCAGCAAGCGGCCGCCTGGAAGTGTCTCTGGGCCGGTAAAGGGAGATCTTTGATCTCCCCACCGGCCCAGGGAGGCACTATGCAGGGCCGGCGCTTGGATAGCGCTGGCCCTGCAGGAGCCGGCCGGGGAGATCCTGTGATCTCCCCTGCCGGCCTCGGCCCCACGGCCATCGCGGCCCACCGGGCATTTGCCCGGTATGCCCGATGGCCAGTCCGGGCCTGGAGTAATGTGTGTGTGAGAGAGTAATGTGTGTGATGGAGTAATGTGTGTGTGAGAGAGTAATGTGTGTGAGAGAGTAATGAATGTGTGAGAGAGTAATGTTTGTGAGGGTGTAATGTGTGTGAGGAAGTAATGTGTGTAAGGACATAATTTGTGTGTGATGGAGTAATGTGTGTGTGAGAGTAATGTGTGTGAGAGAATAATGAGTGTGTGAGAGAGTAATGTGTGTGTGAGGGGGTAATATGTGTGTGAGGGATTAATGAGTGTGTGAGAGAGTAATGTATATGTTATGCTGACTGCTGCTAAAGCAGTAGTAGCAGGGCTATAGAGGGCTTTAGGAAACCCGCCAGAACGGATTGGTACCTGAAACTTGACCACTTCCATGTATTGGAAGAACATAGATGGAACTAGATGTGGAGAATCTAGGGGGGACTATCTCCACATTTGGTGGCGTTGTAAAAAAGTTATCCCCATATGGCTTATGGTCAAATCAATACTGTGTAGACTAAATGAAATAAAAATAAAAGTTAGACCAGACATTATGTTGTTGCACTTAATATGGCCTCTTCTTGGCAAAATGAAACAAGTACTGACAACACACTGTCTCGTAGCGGCAAAGATTATCATTGCCAGAAATTGGAAAAAGACAGTCCTTCAATAAGCTACTGCTCACTCAACAACTAAAATACCAGATTTAAATGGAAATAGGGTTGAATAAAATTAAAAATCAATATAAGGAGTATGATAAATGGGCAAATTGACTAAAAATATTGGAGCAACAAGAGCGGGAATTAACAATAGACATTCAATAAGCCCTAGAGTAACAAGACTGAAATAGACATTATTCCCCACGGAAGTAATAAAGATGATTGACACTGCTGGAATGTATGGTGTGAATGGTGATATGAATGAGGTTACTTTTTTTCATTTTTTTTTTTTTGGATATGAAGATTTGTATGGGTTTCCCCTCCTCTTACTCTTTCTCTTTAGTGAGGATGATACCCTTTAAGGAGTACTAATAGAAAAGGGAATAAAAGAGGTTTTAAGGTTTAATAAAGTACTGTAGTTTTAAGTAATGAGCAAGATAGAGGAGTTAGGGGATGAGCCGGCAAATATTTATGATGACTATTATACCAAACCATAAGCAATGAAGTATTCAAAACTATTATTAGACTGTTATGGTTTGAAATATAATAATAATAAAAAAAGACTTCACCAGCGAAGTTAAAACACTCCTTAGTATATGTTATGCTGACTGCTGCTAAAGCAGGGCTATAGAGGGCTTTAGGAAACTCACCAGAAGGGATTGGTAGCTGAAACTTGACCACTTCCATGTATTGGAAGAACTTAGATGGATACACCTCCATTTGGCAATCATTGTCAAGATATATGAAGGGAGGAGGGAGAGGGAGAAATCATGATTACTAATTGCTTTTAAAATTGCCTGAACTCACTTAATTTCACAGCTTCATTGCTGACAATTCCGATAGCCAATGATATGAACAGCTCTTCCACTGAGGGAGAGGAACCACATACGCCTACGCTATACTGCCAGCCTCTTGGGTAAGGTTAAATTTAAGTAATACAAAACACACTAGTTTATGTGTTCATTAAAAACCTGAGGCTATTGGTTATAAACTGACTTGCTTTTTATGGTTTTCTGTTTTTATTATTATGATTCATAACATCTGAGTTACATATACAATATACTTAAACATTATACAAAAACTACCTGAGTTAATAAAGGCATCTCAGTTTGACCAGCCCACCTAATATAGGTTAACCTTAAGACTTTAAAATTAACCTATACTGTAAAGTGACCTTGGTATTACACTCTATGATTTATGTTTTGCTGCTATCTACTTGGATGTTTGACTTC